TATCGTTTTTCTCCATCCAGTAACTACCACCACTATAATGTCGTATCGACACCTATGATTGCCAAGTTAACCAACGATTTTCTTGACAAAATGGGTAGATCGACACCTTAATAACCACGATCATCAAGCATTCTCAATTTCGTTCATTGTAGTCTCTTAGTCATAACAGCCTTTGAATTAACTAAACTACCCACAACAACACAGTCTATCCGAGGTTCACAATGATGAAACTAGGATAATGCCAACTCATAACAACCCTTTTCTAAAATGCCTTTCTGATCTGCAGTTGGTCGTGGATGTGATGTAACTAGAAAATTAAGAACGTTAGAAGTAAACAGAACATAACCTAATTTTACACCACTATCACATAATCATAAAACACAAATATCATGAATTCCCAGTCAAAACTTACAACGCAATTGTCCAAATTGATTATCGAACCAGTGAGATGCACATTTTGCGTTCAAACGACGATACTGAAAATAACATTCATATATTATTAAGCGTTCCATATAGCCACTATCTAATATTGATCGCTAAAATCCGAGGCTTAATTAAAGGGTTTTAGTGGCTTATATGGAGAACAGACACCTTTTGCATAAGCAAATTCGAGTCATGCTAACTACACTACATGTCCTTTGACGATTTAAGAACTCGATGTCCCTAAGAACCCAGTAAACATGGTATGAGGGAATGAGTAGGGCTATGTTGAATCCACGAAGGGTCTCTGAGGGGACTCTCACCTTTCATTCCGATTGTTGAAAGTGGTTATTTTAAGACATTTATAATACAATACTACGCCGTCAAAGCACTTTCTATGAATCAAGTGTGAAAACACTGGAAATCATTATATTTTCACTCTAACTAATGTAGCTGTCAGTATTTTGTTGGATTTTATCTGTAAGTAACAACTTCAGTATCCATGAAATATGCTGAGAATTGGCATGATCCTATTGTTTCACAGTCATAGGGGACATAAGGAGGCTACCTAAACGATCGTTAGCAACCTGCCTACACACACATCCTCCACTGACTTCTGGAAGGCACTTAATAAAGTTTCAAAGTTGTCAACGTTGAATAAAATTGGAATCAGAATAAATCGAGTGTTGCAAATAAAAGCATGGACAAACAAAAATTTTTCCGACCAGAAACAGTGCTACGCGTGGTCCTGTGAAGTGGGATTGTAAAGATCAGATGCGAATCAGTATTATAGAGATAAATAATTTTGATCAATTAATAATCTTCACCCACCCCAAATCTATGACTTAGCTTTCCTGCTTTTGTGGTATGCTTAAAGATTAGACGGAACCTTAACAGAATAAGACACCAGTTTAAAATATCAGATTAAAGAAAGTTAATGTAAAGAGGATGATTGGACTACTACATGCATCTATGTCATCACGTTCATCAATTAGTTCGCATCGAGAGGCTCTAACCTTTTCAAAATGCAGTTGATTTGACTCCCAGCGGTCAATATTGTAAGAGAGGGATACATCACGTATGATGGGTAACAAAGCTGTGGGTCTGAGAAACTTCACTGGCTAACATAGTATGTCAACCATCATTGTTGACCTTGATTCTAAACAGCCTTCCCTTTCTTCTAATTGTCTCTTATTGGACGTCAATGGCTTCAAAACAAAGTGATCAATGCAAAATAAATTTGATAGCGTAAAGCTTCAGAAAGATCTGTAGTGGCTTTGGTTATTAATCACACGATCCTTGAGGCTGTACATACGATAACCGAGAAGATTCACAGCCCACATTTAACAATTATAGAAGGTCAAAAATAATGAGCTTGGTAACGCAGAAGAGAAAAGTCATGGCTCGGTCATTCTTGCTCGTTCACTCCATGCAACTGTAGAATTATGGTCTACTTCTTCATTAGTACTGCTCTAAAACTGTCGATATGTCATTATGTGACTACTGTTCTATAAAATCTTATGTGGAGGTTATATAATTGTCTACAATTAGCCATATGAATGCCGCTTCTAAAGAAAACAATTAAGGATGAAGATAGAACAATATGTTTACTATGAATAAAAGAAATATCAAATAAGTATATTTATTCAAAATCATTAAACAGTATATTTGCAGCGAAAACATCACACTGAAGATCCCTCCAAAATACTTATTGGACAATAGTAGTATTTGTTTTTACCCATTCCGTCTTGAACTCTGATCTTTATTTCGGGCCTCTTCTTTCTTTGATTTTATCTGGGCTTTAATTATTTGACTTCGGTCAAAATCTACTTTATGCTACTTAACTTCACTGTTGCACGTTGCCAGACTATTAACAGTAGGTAATGTCTAACTAAACTCAAGATTACAGCATGGTTCAGTGTATGGTTGTTAACATTTAGTGGTGTTAACCCTAATCACACAATCCTCAAAGCTGAACAAGAGATAACTCAGAAAGTAAATATTCAACACTTAACACGGAGGGAAGGTCAACAATCGTGAACGCCGGAATATTCAATTCAATCGTATGGCAGAGCTCAGTTTCGCAGACGTTGTCATTCTGTATTACTTGTTTTTATTCACATCAAATATATTATCCCGTTTTCAGCCTAAATGTGTTCTTCAGGGGTACTAAGTATCATATCGTTAGTTTTTACGATACGGTGAGTCAGTGTATACAATGATGTGACTTCTATGTAAGGTCTTGTAGATTAGGCAGTCACACCATGACAAATAAACGACTTTAGGATTAGGTCTATTATTATAATAGAACTGTTAACGAATTGAATTATAATTCTACAAACCTTTGTTTGTCTGCTAGGAAGGATTACTGGTACCCTTGGAGATAGGTATCTGATACCAACTTGTTGGGAGCATTTTTTGTTGATTTTCAGGTAGAGAAATCTTATTAACTGACTATTTACTTTGTTGTTTAACACATTGTTTTATGATAGAAAAACCGTTGACTGTATGGCACAGGCTGTACTGTTTAGGTATTTTGTGCTTCTGAAGTGGGTTACTTTCTTAAGTTAGAACCCTTTAAATTGATCTCAGAGCGTGTGTTTTGAAATAATTTATTATGATTCGCTCAAAAACGTTTTTTGTGATATACAGAAGAACGTAGTTTGATCTAGTCAAATAAATGTTAGTACATTATCTCTGCATTCACACCTAATAATGGAATTTCGGTCGTTACAGATAGTTTATTGTTTTTGATCCCATGGCAAGTACCCCTTTCATTTTCTGCACTATGGACGCATCAGAACAGGAATTGATCTACCAAACTTATAAATAAAGTAACAATAGTTAACCAGTTTATTTAAATGCACTAAATGAGATGAATAAGAATTCACTCGGTAAAATTGATCCTTGTTTATAACATGGTGGTAAATAAGTCCCCAAAATAAATCGTTCTGTGAGTCCTTGGAATTGATGCTGACTTCATTCGTTTGTCTAGAAATATTTTGGCTGTAGGACTTTGATCATACATCCGCACCAGAGCACGAGTGGATGTCCCGTGCTACATATCCCTTGTAACCGTTAGCCAGCTTAGATCAGATGCTTCCCAATACATTGATCGCCTTTCAAATATATCTTCAAACCACTTCGTTTCTGATTTCTGATTTGAATAGTTTGCCACACTCTTTGTAAAGGTGTTACAATTAAATGCTCTGTCAAACTCAGAATACCTGTGGTACCCATAATAATAGTAGAATAACGATATTTTTGTCCAATCGTTTGCTCGTAGATCTCAAAATACTCATTTATTTTGCTCATATTACCCACCGAATTTGCAATAAGAGCCTCCGACCTTAAGAATGAAAATGAATCACTTCAGAAGCACAAAATACCTAAACAGTACAGCCTGTGCCATACAGTCAACGGTTTTTCTATCATAAAACAATGTGTTAAACAACAAAGTAAATAGTCAGTTAATAAGATTTCTCTACCTGAAAATCAACAAAAATGCTCCCAACAAGTTGGTACCAGATACCTATCTCCAAGGGTACCAGTAACCCTTCCTAGCAGACAATCAAAGGTTAACAATCAGCAACTGAGCATACGTAATTGAGTAAGTCCGGAAATAACACCAAAGCAAAAGATGCACATTATGAATGACAAAAATCACAACAAAACATCGTGAATGGAATACTATATAGGGGTTCCCTCCGGGTTTCATCGCAAACAGAATTCGCGAATTCTATTAAATAAACTTCTGCATACTCGGCCTCGCTGGAGTCATGAGGTAATATAAGCCAATAACCCCACGTTATAGAGGTGAATATACAACCCATGTTAAATGGGAAACAAAGTGAAGAGGCATGTTTTGTCACTCAGAAAAAGTAGCGGTAGTATCGACAAGTTGAAAGGTTAATTTCATTTGTAATTGATACAAATAAATATTACATACTGAATATCGATATGTTGATATCTACAATATCACATAGCGAAAAGAAGGAACAACATTTTATTGCTGTTACAAAAGGGAATAATAATAATAATACACGAAACGAAGGTGCGACAAAATGGCTGGTGACTTTCATGTCGAATTATCAACAGGTGGAATCCTTTACTTCAACATATGACAATAACTGTCTCTGTTGATGCATTTCAAATTGAAATCGGATTGGCTTATAGATCTTTAAAGCCAAGACTAACATAGACGTTATATCTTAATACAGTTCTTCTGCTGAAACTATGGCTTTTATGACCAATGTATCTATATGAGACAAGCACATATCTTTAGTGTGAAAGGTTTCGTTTCGTGTATTATGCATTTTTTCAACAACTGGAAGCAATGATAAAAAATGTGATTAGTCCCTAAATACAAACTTTAAATTATCAGTCGTCAAGGTCAGCTGCTTAAAGCGGAACTATTGTAAATTTGCTGAGTTTTCGATCCCACTTAGGATAACAACTTGTGGATGTTTATTTACAGTAGCGCTAGTTACATTTACACATAAGCACCTTTCCGATTTGTCAATACACTTTAAAGAATTCAATGAGAATACAGAAGTGTCGTTGGTTATCTTGCATCTGAAATGTCAAGTGTTGCGGCTTCTGGTTTAATTGGCCCAAATTCTGTTCTTATTCCTTCACAAGTCGTGAGAAACAATCTTGGAAACTCAGATGAGACTTTCATTCGAAGAGATCTCACAAAACCGCAGGAATACGAATCGGAAACCGAGTCAGACACTACTACAGACGATGATGATACAAGTGATGACGATAAACGACTAGCTAATAATCCAGTACTTAAAGAGCGATTAAAACAACTCGATCGGTATGCTACCCCAATCAAACATCATGCTCACTCCCCAGTTCAAATGAGTGACCAACACACCCTATCTGGTTTATACGCCACAAACATGCCAGTTTCTGATCATACACCTCACAGTGGTCCTGTTTCTATTCATGCGAAACCCAATGAATCCTCTGAGGTAATAGATAGTAGCTCTACTCCTCCTGAATATTGTTCTCATCAATTATCTGTCGCTGAATCACCAACTTCTTGCAGTGGTCCTGCTTCTCTTAATACATCTCTCACCCCCAAACATAATCTTTCCCCACCGTATATCATTTCGGGTAATAATACCGCCATTCCTGAACCGATGCATCAGCATGAAACAGATGTAGCTGGTACGTATTTCCACCTTTCAAATACTTTACCACATAAGTCTAACGAATTACCACCTGGATACAAATATGGCCTATCTTTTAACTCACTTGATGTGATTCATTCAAATGATATTTTTGTTGAGAAAGTTGGGGCTAACCAAGACTGTGTTTGTAAAGTTTGTCATATTGCATATCCTAACCGATCTTCTCTACGAAATCATATGAAGAAGCATGAGAATCATAGCGTAAAGCGTCATCAATGTGATCACTGTCCGTATTCCACACAGTATGGGAAGAACCTAATCAAACATATAGAGTCGATGCATACTGTTGCTAATTCTCAAGAACTTCACTGTGAAGGTTGCTCTCGACGCTTTCCAAGTGAGACTCTTCTACGTGATCATGATTGTATTATGGCTCAGTGCAACACTTATCGATGTAATGAATGTGGCAGAGTATTCAAGACGAAATTGCGTTTAAGATATCATACAGATGTACACAATCCAAGAAAACCTTATGTATGTGACATTGAAGGTTGTGATCGAGCTTTTCGTACGCCAAAGTATCTCAAAAATCACAGGGATGAATTTCACAGAATACATCCTAAAAACTACACATGTCCAGTAGAACAGTGTGACTTAGTTTTTCACCGAAAAACCCATCTAAAGCGTCATATTGCCACACATGACGGTAAGAATTTTTCATTAAAGCGTATCGTTACATTGTGTCATGAACCCATCCAGCATCGTGAATAGAATTTCAAGTAGCTCGAAAACTGGGAATCCATGTTTTATTTTTTTACTGTTCATCATTAAGTTGCATATAAGTCAAGTTTATTTAAATGCCCCTGCTTTTCGCAACTTAGATCTGCGGTTTCGAAACTTTGAATTCAACATGATGCCATGTATGCAATCACCATCTTTTAGTTTTATGTGGTGATTGATTCGGCCCTTGTTGCTGTCAAACCGTGTGATTTGTTTTTTATTTTAAAGCAAACAATTGAAAGCCCACCATTTTAAATAATTACATGTAAAGAATATAGTGGTTATTTTCCCCCTAATACTTCGTTCCATTATGAACTCTGTAGTTTTGTTGATTGTGTCACAAGTACAGAAAATGGATTGTTTTGAAAAAGTCTAAATTTACATTATTAATGGTTCTAAGGCTTTTCTGCAAGTTTTGTTCCGGTTACATGGTCGTACATCTCCACTAACTTGAGTCTGGTTGTTATCTTTTTGGCAATTGATAAAATAAACTATGTTTAGGTTTTCTTTTGAAATTGCTAGCCCAATATGTTGAGTTTCTACATAGCGTACCTAATTATCAGATGACTAGTTTAACTGGAATAGCATTTCCCACCTAGGATTTGTCATATCGTCTTATCTGAAGTCTAAATCCGATCACTTTTTGTAAAATTTAAGAGAATTCACCCTTCTGATTGTGTGTTTAGACCTGATTAATGAATAGTGAAACTTTCTACTTTATCACATGGCAATCAAACTACTAGTTTGGGTTAACTTTTGATAACCTCCACTACTAAATTTAGTGAATCCAAGTCGTACACCAGAACCAAATAGAATTTTACCAAAGTATTGAACTCAAGCTGAGAAGATACTTGCTTACTTACGCCTGTTACCCCTCGTGTAGTAGCATAGGCCGCCCACCAACATGCTCTATCCAACTCTGTCCTGGGCAATCTTTTACGTGTCTGTTTCTAATTCCCGGCACAATGCGTTCTTTGGTCTTCCTCTTTTCCGTTTCCCTCTAGAATCCCAAGTTAGCAATTACCTCGTGATGCAGTTTGATGGTTTCCCCAATGTGTGTCCTATCCACTTTCAACATATTTTCCTGATTTTCTCTTCATCTGGCAGTCGGTTTGTTCTTTCCCGCAGTAGGCTGTTGCTGATGGTATCCGGTCAACGGACATTGAATATATTTTGTAGACAATTGTTTATAAATACTTGTACTTTTTTGATGATGGTTGTGATAGTTCTCCAAGTTTCAGCTCCGTACAATAGAACTAACTGCCTTGACGTTCGTATTAAAGATTCTGACTTTGGTGTTGGCTTGTAGACAGTTGTTCTGAGTTCCATATGTTTTTTAACTGTCGGAGTGCACCCTTGCTTTGCCACTCTTCGCCTTCATATCCGCATCAGATCCTCCTTATTTATTATTAACGCTGCTCAGGTACGTAAATGTTTCCACTTGTTCTGGAGCTTCTCCATCGAGTGTGATTGGGTTGGTATTCACTGTGTTGTATTTGAGGATCCTACTTTTTCCCTTGTGTAGGTCGAGGCCTACTGATACAGAGACTACCACCACACTAGTTGTTGTATATGGGATTGAAGGGCTAGGTCATCTGCGAAGTCCGAATAGTCTAGCCACATCCAAACTGTCTATTGCATTCGGTGCTTCCCCTCAAATGTGAAAATATTCACAATCCAACAAACCGCCAGATGAAAGACAAAGGAGGAGAGTAAGCAGCCTTGTATGACTCCAGTCTTCACTTGGAATGCGTCTGTCAGCTGTTCTCCATTCACGACTTTTCAGTGTAGTCCGTCATATAAATTCCGGATGATGTTGGCGATCTTCTCAGGCACATCATAGTGTCAAGAAAGGTTCCACAAGGTCCTTCTATCCACGGTGTCAAACACTTTCTCGTAGTCAAGGTGCTTGATATGTAGTGATAAGTTTTATTCACTTGATTGTTCAACGATGATCCGTAGTGTTTCCATTTGATCTGTACACGGCCGGTTCTTACGAAATCCGGTCTGTTGGTCTGGAAGCTGGGCATCTACTGAATCTTTCATCTGGTTCAATATTTTTTATTGGTGTGACCAACAAATCTGTAGTTTGGTCGTTATGATCAAGTCATTACTACTAATCGGTTCTTCTTATGTTAGATTACAATTGGAGAGATGGCATTTAAATGGTGACACTATTGTATTATTCGTAGGTGACTACAAAGAGGTTGCTGATTCAGTATTTTCGAAAAGAGTGAGTCTTTAATCTCATCTTTGTTACAGATACTTATACTAAATCCATGATTACACCATCTATTAAAACAAGCCAGGTAAAAAGTACGGTAAAATCATTAATAGAATAACACCGTTAGAGCCACATGAAGATCGTTTGTCAATTAATGTCTTGACGTTGACTTCTAATCGACGGAAAATATGTACAAATGCCACATTAGCCACTTAGGCCATCAGTTTGGTAGATATACTAGTACACAGTAGGTATACTTTTTAGAATGTTATATTAGTGCGTCGTTTCTGGTTTTTGTTGTAATATATTTTGAAATGTGACATTTACTCATTGGGTCTTGGTAGAGATAGCTATTGCCATGTATGATTAGTTTCAGTTAGAGGCATTCATTCGTTCACCTAATTTTCCATACCCTCAGAAATGTCACTTCATAGTATGGTTTTTTATTGTCACTATATATTATGTTTTGTAAAGTCAACTTTCATGCGTACATTACTATTTTCAAAATTCAGATTCTGAAAAGAAATATCAATGTCAGTGGCCTAATTGCCAGCGTCGGTTTTGCAGTGAAGAAACACTAAACCTTCATTATCGCAAGCATACTGGTGAAAAACCTTTTAGTTGTGCTCTCTGTTTGTATAATTGTTATGACAGATCAAGTTTGAACGAACACTATCAGATACATCATGCCAAGGATGGGAATATTGATTGTGATTTTAAGGATATTCACCACCAAATGCCTTCGTCTTGTTCATCCCAACATCCGGAGACACTGGAATACAGAGGAACTTGCACTGCTGGAGGCTTAGTAACACGAACATCTACACCTGTACCAACCTTACGTCATCGAATGGCTGATATTTTAGACTCATGTGCTCCCCAGGTTCCTGGGCCTCTTGACGCAGAGATTAGTGGGATTTTGGATAGCCTTGACAAAGAATCGGATCTACCAGACTTATTTGGCAGTGGAGGATTCGAAACAGATCGTTCGAACACGGAAAGAAAATTTATTGATAACTCAAACCAGTGTGTTAATGGTCTAATTTTCCCTTGTCGACAAAATATTCAACCGTCATGTGCAACCCCATTACCCTCGGTCTCGTCATCCAGTGCCATCACAACAGAATCTGGAACTAACGAGTCTAGTTTGAACTTGGTTTTGCCTAATATTCTTTCAGAACTTCAACATGCAGAGTTATCTGGTTCCGTTGAGGAGTTTGAAAAAGCGAAATCACACGTTTTATCTGCACTTCCAACATTCGTGATAGGAGAAAAGCTAACTACCCAGATTAGTGAAATTGTTGATGAAGTGAATGATGCTCTCGTCGCTCAGCCTTTGCATGTCGTACGAGCTGCTTTTCATACTGCTCGTCCCTTCACTCGTGAAGAATCATATATGATCGGATTACTTGAACAGCAAATGTCATCTGAGTCCTCCCTAATAGCCCCGAATCCTCCAAGAAGACGCGGTAGGCGTCCGAAACTTCAACAGCAACTACAACCTTATCTTCAACGCATATTTTGTTTAGAATCTGGAGCAGCAGAATCTATGGCATCACAGTTAGTAAACGCCTCACAGAAGGATAAGCGATCCAATTATTATGACTACTATAAAAGCTCTGGGTTTAGAAGAGGTCGGATTTCTCGTAGTCGTGAAAGATCTAGTAAACATTTCCAACTAAGCGTGAAAGTCCCACGGGATGAATCAGTTTCAGGAACTAACCATTTTAATCACTCTCAGTATCATCCCTCGGGAATAGGTATATCTTGTGGTAGTATTGCAAGAAAACATCAAGGTAGTGGGGGATATCATATTGAACGAATATCGGATAATATCCATACTAACTTTTCCAATGAAACCAGTTCTCAAAGAAATCTTATGGAGCAATGTAATACTCACTCCGAACTTATTGATAATTTAAAGCGCCCGAATGGCTTTCGTTCTATTCATTCACAGCTACAGTCAGAAGGCTTTAATTATTCAACGGAGAGGTTTCGTTTTCCACAAGAAGAAAATCTCTTAAAATTGAATAGGAAGTTCCGAAGTCCCGATGGTGAATTCGATTATGGTGAAAATAGTGATATTTTAACTCGTAGATATATGCATATTCAAAACAAATCTGATCCAGCTCATAAAGATCATAGAATAAGAGATCATGTGATGAGAGAATCCAATTTTGAAAGTGAAGAAAATTCCAGACGCGACGGCTCACATGATGTAAAGAAGTTTCTAGATCAAGAAACACTCGGCGAAATGCTAGAGGATTTCGGTGTTATAGTACAGAGAATCGGAGAAACAGCTGTAGCGAGAAAACATCAGGGCTACTTAGATGGTCAACCACTTAATCTTTCTGATTTTACACATGGGGAACAGTTTTCAGGTTCTATCAACTCTCGTTCTATTCACAACAAAAATGGAAATGATGCACAATCTACCCAGCTCCCATCAATGGTAACTTTAACCTCAGGTAGTGTCAGTACTCCTCCGAGTGTCGAAGAACGTACTCCAGGTTGTGTTTCGAATGCCGAACCTCAAGTTCTATCTCCTCATCTGTCTACAGCATCTTTGCACGCTCCATCATCGATAAAGTCGTCTCATCCGTACAATCAATCCAGCACACCAATGTCAGATACGGACAATTTAATTTCAGGTAAACCGTCCACCATCACGTTAAACACTTCTCATAAGTCAGAGCAGATGACATACAATTCAGCTAGTAATAATTACCATCGAGTCGCACCAATGTGGTCTTGTGAGTCTATGTGTTGTCCACTAACTCGAGATGAGGAAGTCGGTAAAGCAGAGGAATCTTGCCCTGGTAACGATTATTCCTCTCAGGCTGGTCAAACAAGAATTCCTCAGTCCACAGGAAATTACTCTAAGGAACCAAATGGGACAAAAAACCAGTGCTTTTATCCAAAAGATTTAAGTACTAGAGTACTATCTTTTGAAGCTGGTTCTGATTCTAATCATAACCCGTCAACTCCACCAAGAGCTTTTACAAAACCTGATCCCAGTGACCCTGAGTTCTCTGGCTTGAGATATGAAACATTAGTAAGTCGTCCTGTTCACTTATCTTCCAAAGCCTCAGCAATGGGTTCATTGATATCAGCAGCTGAGGCAGTTGATCATTTGCGGTCTTTATCTGCTTTAGGAGCTAAGTATACAGCATCTGTTGGTGCACCGAAGGAGGGTCAGTACCAGCCTTATCAGAATTTACGTCCTGGAGATTATTCTTACAACTGCACCCATGTTCATTCAGATGGTTTACCGCGAAATGATTCCTCAGAACATTCTGAATCTGCAACTTCATATTTGTCACATAACTCTGCGCTAATTCCAACTCAGAATGCATTTAGCACCAATGTGCCATCATTAAATAGTTCCTCTATCGTAAGTTCATGAAATCTAATTATCTTTTTCTTAAGTCGTAATGAACGAATGACTGGTTCAGTTTTTCATCTTAGTGTGAATTGTTATTTAAATAAAATTTATGTTAATTTTCTAAGCGCTATTATTAGAAATCCTTACGCACATTAGTGATATGACGCTCAGTAACTGACTTGTGGTCAATCAGTTTCTCACTGAAATTTTTCATCAAATCAATTTATTGAATACATATATTGTTTGAAGTGCATAAAATATTAATTTCTTTCCGTGAAATGTAAGTAAACGCTGAAAACCATGCAACATTATTTGGTCGGGACAATTATATAAATATTTACGAATATTTCGACAGTAGTATTGCCTCTGAAATACGAAGTTCTTTCTAATAGTTGTTGGATTTTATTTTAGTAACTATTCACCCGTTACCAGAATGTCGCTCTTCTGTCCTCGGTCTAAACTTTCTAGATCGTTTAGATATAACAAATATACAAGTTTTAATTCTTATTGAATCGTACTTCTGATTGCTTTTTGACTTGGTGTTTAGAGTAGACTGATTAACTCAGTTTCACGTATTTATATAGTCATTAGTCTTCAAGTTGTAACTGTGGCTTGCTGATGAATAGTAACAAGCATGAAACCCATTTCTATATTTCTCTGTCGGCCTTCTTAAAACATCCACAACTAAATACAAAAGCTTATTATATTGTAACGTTTTGCCTGGGGGATTTGTTGCTAGCTGTATTCGCGGGATTCGGTCAGTATTCTAAGACTTGTTGGATTGAATCATATTACCGCCTTAGGGGACAGTCCAAGAACGTTTAGAATACTCTTCGCCCACTCAAAATTCAAATTATTACTTCAAAATTGGAAGGCGTCAATACCTAGTCAAATGAAAGTAAGGTGGCTGGTCACTTTGAATATGGGTGGGCGTCTGACAAAATCTAGACATGGATTTAAAAGCTCCCTCTGCTTCGCCAATAAATGCTACTTTGACATAGGCGATGTATCCGTCTACCTATCAGAGAGTGAGTATCCGGTGCAGAAGTTCACTTCATATCGTCTTCCAACATGGAGATGTGTAGATTGTGAATATTCCACTTCGAAGCATTACTGGAGTACGGTAGGCTCATGAGGTAGGTAGTCCTGAGTTTACGCATTGGGGAATAGGTTGAAAAACTCAGTTGCCAATGGTGTTAACCTTCATAAATAGTCATAGTTGAGACATTTACTACAGTTAACAAGCGGCTGCTTATCAGAGTGTACTGGGTTGAGTATTATAGGAGGAGTAGGTTGAAGAAAAGTTATGAGAAATCGGTTCATTAATTCATTTTCCGTCGATGTACACCGTCTAAAGGAGTGCGGAGTCTGGAATAAATGTAATCAATGTTTGCAGATGTTGGATAATAAGTTTTTCACATCAGTCGCAGTGTGACAGATATACTCATTCTTAATCGATTTCATAATCTGCAGTTTTAATACTGTTTAGTACTTTTCATCCTCCGACTCAGTCGTTTTTTCCAACTGCATCCTGTTTTCAATTTTTTTCTATCTTTGATACTGAAAGTTTTGCTTTTGTGTTTGTTAATTCCTTCTCATGTTACTGATGTTCAGCTTCGTAATCGGGGTCAAGCTTTACGTTGTATATGGTTAATAAATGATGCATCATTGCGTAACTAAATTGCTTTTGAGCATTTTATACTCTTCATTCTCTTCATGGATCCAGATAAATTGATATCTGTTTTGTAATCTCTGATTCTTAATAAGTCTTTTGGGATACGATATCCACTTAGATTCATTGGGGTTTTGAAAACTTTCAGCTCCCGTTTTTAAATACTATTAATGATCTTTTTCTGTACAGTCTTATTTATTTTAAGAAAATGATTATGGATATAGATAAACTATAACTTGTGTGAATATACATAGAACTGTATATATCCGTATGACATACTTAGTCATAGCATATATGGTATACATTTATGAAGCTTAATTTTATCTGGATAATTTTATGTATATACATAACTACTTAGTTGTGTGAATAATGATATATATCAGGTATTTTTATTGTTTAAGCTTACAAAGTTTTTTAAATAAATTTAAAGGAAATACCATCTTAGTATTTAAATTTTCAATTTTAACATCGTCTCGCTCGCATAATTTATGTCAAAGGAATGATATACTTCAACTGGTTTCCAATATATGGATATATTTTACTAACAAGAGGTGAAACCGTGTAAATGTTGTTAACTGAAACATTACTCAATACACTGGCTTATGTAAGTGGTACTCATACTGTGACAAGGTTAAATTCGTACTGGTTTATCTTTTACAAATTATAGAATTTCAAGTAGATGATCAATCGAAGTTTGTGTCTTCTACTTGTAGCTTATATGAGTTTTCTCATTTCTCATGCCAAACTTGTACACAGAATATTATCATCTCGATTTTGAAACCGAAAATGTACTAGTCATTTTAACTACCTCACTTTATGGCTTTACGTAGAGTTAGCATTTCTCATCTATTTATTTTTTATCCTTTTTACTTTCTAATACTCTGGTTTGTTTTTTTTTTACCTTGGAAGCAGTTATTATCACCTCACTATCTATCTATGATAAAATTCTTAATTCTTTTTTGAAAAAGCTTGTACGTAACCTGTAATTCAATTCCTAGATTGAGACCGTTGAATTACGGTCGTCTTTTATGAACGAGTTTTCATCAATATGCTGAATTAATATCTCCAGTTAACAAAAAATTTCTTAACTTTTCTTCATAGATTGAAATCATATTCTTTATCTTTCATATCTTCTTACACGATGAGGTATAAAATATATATATATATATATATATATATATATATATATGTTTACATTCTACTAGTGTTTTAAGGATCTCTCATAAGGCTTAGTAACTCTGCTCTTGATTATCATTTCATCCATAAATTACAAAACGAACACCAACATTACCTACGTATTCTTTCTACGACAAATTTTCCATCTAAATGATATTTCCTCTCTCGGACGACCACCTATGTCGCCTAAAATTTAGATTTAAGACATTTATTTTGTATGACAATGAAGTCTTTTTTTGTATGGTTTATGCTAGTCTTTGGCTGTATGTCCTTCTGTCGATTTTAAATCTTATATGTCAGATCATTCTGAGTTTATTGCCTTGTTGATCTTATGTGTACATGTGTCCATCTAACTGTTTTTTGTAACATTTGTCTTTGTTTGTGTGCACTGGTTAGCTTCAATTTCAAACTTACACTAAACAGGACTATAGGTTTTATAAATATATATTGTGGGATCTCCGGTTGATAAGGCATAATAAATCTGATAATGAACGAAAGTATGTTCTCCTAATGTGACTATAACTAAAGCTGTAAAATTCAGTATTCATAGGATAAGCCATTCGTTAATAATCTAGATCAAAAGATAGAGGGAAGCCGTTGCATATGAGTAGCCTCCTAGTCTGAGAACATGCTAGTGAGTAGTTGCAAATTAAATGAAGAATGACGAGAATTGTACACACCGATAGTGAGCGATGGAGGGGAGCAATAAAGATTAAAAAGATGATAGAGGTAGGTGACAGCAGACAGTTATTTAAACTCTCCAAATACACTAAGATCAGGTAGTTGTTAACTGGTCAGTCCCTCTTAGAAAATAATGGAACAGTGATCCTCTACCAAACCAAGTCGCTGGAGCAATGTGCAAAACATAGAGGAAAAGTTCAACTAGTTTATACACCTTTTGTAATTACGTACTACTCACCAACAGCTTGGATGTGGTGTTAAAATAAAGCTCTCGGCCTCTAGAAAAGTAGGAAAAACAGTAACTAATTTGTACCGATATACAGCCATAAGTCCAAACGGATTAATTTCGTAGGTCTTTCAGAATGGTGCTCCTGTGTTACCAGTAAGATTACCTAAAATATTTGATTGGAACACATTAGTTTTGCTTGCAGTTTCAAATTTAACGTTAAGTAGATTTTTCGTTTACTTGACTGTTATTTTTTTTTACTTTTACTTACGCCTGTTACTCCCAATGGAGCATAGGCCACTGACCAGCATTCTCCAACCCACTCTGTCCTGGGCCTTCTTTTCTAGTTCCATCCAATTCTTGTTCATTTTTCTCATGTCTATTTCCATTTCTCGGCGTAATGTGTTCTTTGGTCTTCCTCTTTTCCTTTGGCCTTGAGGATTCCATGTGAGGGCTTGTCTTGTGACGCAGTTGGGTGCTTTCCTCAATGTGTGTCCTATCCACTTCCAGCGCTTCTTCCTGATTTCTTCCTCCGCTGGGATCTGGTTTGTTCTCTCCCACAGTACGTTGTTGCTAATAGTGTCCGGCCAACGGATCTGAAGTATTTTGCGTAGACAACTGTTAATAAACACCTGTATTTTCTGGATGATGGCTTTCGTAGTTCTCCAGGTTTCTGCCCCATACAGTAGAACTGTCTTGACATTTGTATTGAAAATCCTGACCTTGGTGTTGGTTGACAGTTGCTTTGAGTTCCAGATGTTCCTCAGTTGTAAATATGCTGCTCTTGCTTTGCCGATCCGCGCCTTCACATCTGCATCAGATCCACCCTGTTCATCAATGATGCTGCCCAAATACGTAAAGGTTTTTACATCTTCCAAATCTTCTCCGTCAATTGTGATTGGATTGGTGCATTCTGTGTTGTATCGGAGAATCCTGCTTTTCCCTTTGTGTATATTGAGACCTACTGCTGCTGAGGCTGCTGCCACACTGGTCGTCTTCTCCTGCATCTGTTGTTGCGTTTGGGATAGAAGGGCCAGATCATCTGCGAAGTCTAGATCGTCCAACTGCATCCTAGATGTCCATTGTATCCCGTGCTTCCCTTCAGACGTTGACGTCTTCATGATCCAGTCGATCACCAGGAGAAAGAGAAAGGGTGAGAGTAAGCAACCTTGCCTGACACCGGTCTTTATTTCGAACGACTTTGTCAACTGTCCTCCATGCACGATTTTGCAGTGTAATCCATCATATGAATTCTGTATGATATTGACTATCTTCTGAGGCACGCCGTAGTGTCGAAGAAGTTTCCATAGTGTTGTTCTGTCCACGCTATCAAATGCCTTTTCGTAGTCAATGAAGTTGATGTAGAGTGATGAATTCCATTCAATTGATTGTTCCACAATGATCCGTAGAGTTGCGATTTGGTCTGTACACGATCTATCCTTACGGAATCCTGCCTGTTGGTCACGAAGTTGGGCGTCTACGCAGTCCTTCATCCTGTTTAACAATACCCTGTTGAAGACTTTTCCCGGTATTGAGAGAAGAGTGATGCCCCTGTAGTTATCACAGTTGCTGAGATCGCCTTTCTTCGGTATTTTGATCAGAAGTCCTTCTTTCCAGTCTTTGGTACTTGTTCCTCATCCCAAATCTTATTGAAGAGAATGTGGAGTATCCTTGCAGTTGCCGCTACGTCTGCTTTTAGTGCCTCTGCTGGGATGTTGTCCGGTCCTGCTGCTTTGCCACTCTTGATTTGTCTGATGGCCATGCTGATTTCTTCAATTGTTGGTGGGCCAACATTGATTGGGAGGTCCATGGGTGCTGCTTCGATGTTGGGTTATTTACTAAAATGGAATTTAAATTCCTGTATAATTGGGCAAAGACGTCGCATAATATCTTTTTTTCGTTGCAACTGACACAATTTTCATTTTCTAAGTTTATGTATCATATTTAACGAGATGCTATCAAAGTTTAAATTTTTCATTAATACATTGGAATTTTCTCACGTTTCGTGTGCCAAGTGTTATTTTGTTACTGGGTATATAATATTTTATTAATAACTTAAGCCCTTTGATTATTTCTTTTTATATATTTACACTACACTTTTTTATCATCATTTCAGGCTGTAGGTATATCATAGAACAATTCTATGTGATTAGTTTCCTAAAAGTGTTAATTTATCTGCTACAAGTGTTTTTAAATTATCCAGTCTGTGAGACAAATTTCACACTGGATTATACAATGAGATTACTACGTTGACCCATTAACCATTGCGTTTCATGTATATTCATAAAATTTAACAAATTGTCTTAAGCAGCCATCTGTCCTTTTCATTTTAACTGTATTAAATGGATGTCCTAACCTACTTACGATAGTTTCAATAAAAATTAGCTGATCAACTTGAAGTGGAATTAACAATTATCAATATCTATGCAACCACCTCATCTACGTACAAATGCTATAAAAATACCTGGGATCGTATCTTAGAATAAAATGTTGTTAAGTAGTTGTATTTCATGTTTTTACGAATAACTCGTTCATTATTTACGTTTGCATGTTAGGTGAACGGTTTCCCTCTTTTCAACAATCTATGTCAGTACATCACCAGTTTTCAATCAGTTCACCTGATAGTAATTGTTTAGTTTTAATCAGTATGATGAATTAATTAATATTATCAATAAATTGTATCAATTTTCGTTTCATAAAAAATAATAGTAAGAATCTTGGTTTCCAAAAAATATTTCATCTGTGTTAGGATATTGATGTAGCGGAATGTTATAGGGTCTCGTTCCGAAAATACTCACGCGGTTTATTGATAGAGCATGTCAGAGTACAATCTCACGAAGCTACGTCTGAGTAGTGTAGGCTTCTGGCTTCAATATATGAGGTCAAGAATTGTAATTCTCTATTCTGTCTACTACGATTTGGGCTCACAGAAAGTATTGTTTGTGTTCATTCAGGTTGATGTGCTTCCATAGCCTAACATATCAATTTACATGGAGTTATAAACCAACTTTTAATCTTGTGTTCTCTGTTTAGAATTCTAGATTACCAAGTGAAATACAGATGCCAAGTGTTTTCTTTTACCGTAGTAACTGAGCTGCAAATTTTGTAATGTTTGATTAATAACCATAGTATTACTATCTTGACTATTACTGACATGTTGTAACGTGAATTATTATTGGAATAATTAGTAATCATTCACAAACAAGTGTACTATTTTGAAAAGAATGTTTTATATTATTGATACCTAGTATTTTATTATTTGTGCACTTTTTGTCAATATTTTTGCTAGGTTGTTATTATTACATTGTATGTTGGCCATGATGTCCACGAGCAATATAGTTGTTTGCAATCTACTCTTTTAATGTGATCATGTTCTTGGTTAAACTGCTGTCAGTCATGTTTATTTGTCAAGTTTAGCTTTGTTATTATCTCTCAAGGAAAAAGTATTAACACTACTGTTACTAAACAAGCTGTCACTGTTTTACTGAGTGTGGGTTAGACTAATATTTTTCTTAATATTAGATGGTTAAACATTGAACCTATCAATTAATAGAATAGTCTCTTTAGGAAAGAAACCCAAAAGTTTTTGGAAAGGTAGTCTGGATTATTAAAAAAAAAAGCCACCAAACTATTCGCTGTGATTCTGCCTAAAAGCACTTTCCATTCAACCTGAGGATTCTCTATACAGGTTCGGAATTTAACCCTTGCAGTATATTCTTTCAGTGGTTTTTCAGATTATACTATCTTATGGTAAATCATTTTATTATTCAGATTTTTATCATCCTTTATCACGTATAATTTCTTTCTAAAGTTACATTAAATCTGCTTCATTCGATTATTTCGTTGTTGAGTGGGAGTGTCTATTGCTAATTCTTTATTGATTTCCAGATAAAAGGCGTTTTCTTAATCATCGGAAAATTTCTTTCTTCTTGCAGTTTGTTAGTGATTACATCTTTTTCTTATTTTATTAAGATTAATCTTAGGATGAAATATATGTATGTATATCGTGCTCTAAGTGGAGATTTGCGGATGAAATGGACAAGAAAAACAGATTAATTTTTATCTAATTACCATTTCCTTCTGTCTGAAAGGAGGGATTTCTCCATGTGCATATTTTTTATCTAATATTTTTAGTACTTCTTGTTGAATAGATTTGGTAAGTTTATATTCAACCAGTTTTTTTTACATTATGACGGTCGAAAAGTAGTTGGTTATATTTTTGGAATATAAATATTTCGGTTACGAATTGATAAGCTTTGAACAAAATTGGGAAGGTCAACATCTTAGCATGTATACTATGTATTGGAAAGATCTTGGGAGTGGAGATAAACTTTTTATGATAAAGTATGTATTCTTATTTTGTTTTTAGTTATTAACGTTTTTAGTTTGTAAGCGACTGAGAATTGACAAAATGAAGTCATTTTACTCTGTTATGATTGTTCTTGTTTCTCTAAAGTTATATGGCTCTTTATCTACTTACCGAAACAATGCAGAACTTGACAACTTAATACATAAAACAAAGTTAATTAATATATCACGAAATAGAACAGATAAAAGGAAATCAACATCGGAATGGGAATATTAGTATAGGTTAGGGCGAAATTTAAGGGACATGTTGAATGATTATTGTAAAGAAGAAAGTCCTATTAAAGACTCATTGTATGGTAAAGTTGTTTTCAAGTTATGCTAAAAATACGACCATCAACTACTTGTACTTCATTAAATACTAGTCTCATTTATATAGTCCTATATGTCGGAAAAGCAGTTGGTAAATTTATTTATTTCATCTTTTATTCCTAACCACTTTAAGACTGCTTTTATTTTACTGCTTTTCTATTTCACAATACTCGTCGAATAAAGTGGTGGATGAACGATCATATTTCAGCACTTTATTCCGGCAAATACAAATGGCACTTTTCATATATAATACGCATAATTGATTAATCTAATTTGCAGATAGTAACTTTGATGTATCTTTTGTAAAAGATCAATTCATTATCCAATCTAAATAAGAGATTCAACATTTTTGCTAAATCATATCTCGTTATTTATGAATGTCTGTTCTTTTGACTACAAAAGTAATTCATGAATTAAAATCGTTTACGTCTACTCATTTAGTATAACACAACCATAGCTAAAACATCATATTTAACATTCAATGGTTGAATGCTCCAAGTAATGAAGTTTGAACTTACTGTGAGAGAAACCCAGAGGCATTCTAAGAGTTAAGTATTAAATTCAAGAATGTCGTTTTTAGCAGATGATTCTACTGGATGTTTTACAATTTTCATTCATCAACTAATTCATTTTAATAAGCAAATTACGTTCGTGTAATAGTTATGAACTAAACTTGTTATATCATTACAGATACTATTTGATAAACCAAACTGAAGTAAATGGAATAATATTTTATTCTTTAACTCGATAGTTGAAAGTTAGCCACAAAATCGTACATGTGTTGTTAAAAAGAGTGGCAACTTAAATCCTGTCAGGTTTTACGCTTTTTCAATTGATCAGTCTGCTTTCATACTACCTGCATAAAATCATACATAAATTATTTTTCACAACCGTATGACTAGCTAAACAATATCACCTTTATGTGATATGACGTGTCGATTCTTAATTCCTGAATAAAATCACGACAGTAAATGTAATATGTGTTTGCTTCATGTTTATTTAATTCTAACTATTTGTTTCATGAAATAAAGCAACTTACTGTCGTTATCAAAACCATCTTACTACTACGGACACTAATTTAAGAGTAGCGAGATATTCTGTAGATAAACTACCGAAATGAAACTAGTAGCAAATATATATGGTTCGTATAGTACGAAAGTTCTGGGGTGTAAATATAATTGTGGTAAGAAAAATGACCACCCTGATTGTATATCTATCGTACATACTGATCCTTGTTTATTTTCTGTCGTTCATCTTGTTCGATATTGTTCACCAAGACACCTCAATAATCTATAAAATCTTGAAAAAAATTATTTTGAACACCGCATGGTGCTTTTCATACATAAGACAGTGTACACATCTGGTTTTGTATATAGTAATCAAGTTTTGGCATCTCTTTCCTACGCTTCCACTCCACATATATTCTATACATATACCCACACTTGCATATATGTTGAAGTGTACAAATTTTGTGTGTATGTACATTGTGCACTTACTGGTCAGTACTTATTATATCCGTCACTTGTGTTTATATATACACATTTGCTCTTTTTCAGGTTATACAGACAAATACAAAACAATAAATACTAATTTTTACACCAGATGCATCCAATGATCGTAATCTGGGCCACATTAGAAGCTTTGTAGTCTCTTGTCTCTTTCTTCAGTAAATTAGTTGTTAAGATGTTAACTTAGTACATACATGTACTTCAAAAGCAGGTAAACGGTTAGAGTCTTCTAGTACTAATGAGTATCAGGAGTTTGTTAGCAAAGCAAGCAATAATCTTTTTATTACGGCATATAAATAGAATGACGAGCCTCATAGCCTCGAATCTATCGATTGGTAAATGAACCACAAAATTGAAATGCTTTAATCTTTTTCCCTTTAAGCAAGTTTCAATCAGGTTTATTTTTGCGTGTAATATTTTGTACACAAGCGTATAATTTTGCTTCATAAGATGACTCAATTTGTTGAACATTAATTCTGTTTTCTGTAGTCTGTTCACTGTAAGCACTAGATCAATGATCTGTTTGTTGTGACTAATTATCTCTCTTCTACATAATCATACAATGTTCCTCCGCCTAAGCAATTATATATAAATGATGATATGTTAACAAAGTAATATTTAGATGTACATACTTAAACAATTACTGAAATTCGTATCGTTATCTAGAAACTGGTAAAAGTAAATGTGGACTGATCAGCTGAAGAACCACTAAAAACCATGGAGTACCGAATAGCTGTTTCATCATGTTTTGGGGCTCCGATGGTTCGCGCCTATGATTCAATGAGATGGAACTCGGGACTTGGTTATCTTACTGGAGTCACAATATCCGTAGAACTCTGGATTAGAATCCAATAGTCCACATATCTATTCTCACCTACTTTGCAGTATAGCATGTTAATCATTGAACCCCATTGGTAGTGACTGTTTTACTTTTTAAGTGACTGGATTTTACTATTCACTGAGAATTTATGTCGAGGCTAAACACTAGTGAACACAAATTCTTGTGTTATTTATCAAATTACATGTGACTATGAATGTCTCTGTTAAATATAAGAACGACAACTAAGTTTAAATTCACCCAAAACTAAGTTATTTGCGTTATATGTTGTTTCTGTCCTATTGAGGCAGTTCTTGCTAACGGGATACATAAGCATTATTGAGTGGGTAACAACTAAGTAATTTTTTACCAGATCAGTACACTTATTTCTACGTATTTTGCGTATTTTGAATATAATATTTGAAAGCATCGGTTTTTATCTCTGTTAACACTTCACTAGTATCTTCCGTGTTGTATGTTTTGATATGTCTAACAAACAACATTCGGGTCATCCAATATGTTACCCGTCTAACTTTAGTTTGGTGTAGACCGTCTATTATAGCAACTTATCGGTCATACGCATTTTTAAACATGATTTCCACTATAACACTTGGCCAGATCAGATAAATTGAGAAAAAGGTAGAATGCCTTATTTTTTGGATGATAAAATCAACAGCTCATGGATATCAAATATTCTATGTAGCATACATATGGATCGTAATCTGTGGCTAAGGAAAGTATACCTATATTTGATGCACTTTGCTCTCATATTTAGTTTCCAATCTAAATAGCGTTGGTACGTTGTATGACTTGACATGTTTCACTGAGTTCAATCAATATGTTTCGAGGTGAACTTTATCTTCTCATCCGAGAACAACTACATTTGAGTATCTTTATCTCATTATAAAATCTCAATACATGAAATACGAATCAATTTTTTCAAATTCAGAGTGTATTATGATGATATCTCAAATGAAAGTTATTTAGAAGTGTTACACGACTGTTCTCCATTATCGTAACTCATGAGGGACTGTGGTTAAAAAAAACCCAACTTTCAATCCTACTTCCTATCGATACGAAGAGCCAAATAGTATTATTATCTCTTTTTCAAAAATTGTTTCAAAGTTAAATGCCATTAACTTCTACTTAGCTACTGGACTACGTTTACATATTTTTTCACTTTCTAAAGTTCATTTTTTTGTTTTGTTGAACTTTGTGTTGAATTATGACACTATGCACAATGACCTGATACAAGTTCATACTGTACAATTACATTAGTACAAAACTTTTCTGTAGACAATATTAAAATACATCATCAATAATTTAATAATGTTTATAAAGATCACTATGTACATATTAATTTATATATATATATATATATACTACAACAGTGATAAGAGTTCACCATCATTTCTATCTGGATTATCTAAACCATCTACTCAATCAGGACTAATTAACAACATTATGTAGCATGCTTCTTCCGTTTTAATCACTCTATCACTAGGAATTTCTAATTTATACTTATTTATTTCGATCAATGAATAATCAGCTTTAATTGATTATTGTGTGAATCTCTGTCAATACTAAATTAACATGTCATATATTTACTTATTCCTTAGTTCAAGTTTTATTTCTTTTCAATTTTTGTCGTTGTCTTTACAGAAATATCTGAGTTTGTCAACTAGCATGTATTTCAAATTATTATTTAAGAGTAATTGAAAAAATTCGACATTGTCATTGATAACCACTTTTATGTCATTTTTATTTTTATGACTGTTACTACTGTTTCTTCATTATAATGGATTTTTTCATATTTCATTATATTGTAGGTGATCGTAAATCAGAGGAATATCTTAATTCTTTATCTGGAGTAACTGGTAATGAATTAAATCATGATAATTCCATTAACATCGATTCAATTTCCGCAACTAACACCAATATTAATGCTCAGAATGATGTCAAATCCTTATCAGTCATCAGATCTACTGGTTTCGGAAATTACATTGTAAGTGTTTCAAATAATCTCAATCGATATTATTATTTGGTTGATAGTAACATATATCGATGAGGTTCATCTAGATTGATCGGAACAACCGTCCACTTTTTTTAATCATGTCAACCTACGTATGTCTCAACTAGTGCAGTAAGGATTGATGGGAATGTTTTCTAACTACTCATATATTGGTCAGTAGTATCTGTTGTGCATTGGTGCAATTTCTGTTTGTAGATCACCTAAGCCAACCATAATAATTCCTAATTGAACGTAGATGCATTTCGTATTCCTTTTTTAAATTGTGATTTCACTTAAGTGTTCTGTAATACATTCTTTTGAAATGCATGTATTCTTCAGTATACTATGGAAAACTAATAATGTTTTCATTACATTTCTTAATACAATACCTAAATTCCAATTTAAGAAAACACTTTAAATAACTGTTTTGATTCAGACACAGCTCCTTGATCTGAAAATTGATAGTTTATTTTAAAGGAAGTGAAACAAGTTTAGTGAGATTCATCAAACATTTCCCGTTGCTACTACACATGACGTAAAATATTTATATTCATATATCATTATATCCTAAATGTATGAGGTATAAATATCATATTTATTTTTTTAAAACATATTTACATTGGTTCAATGATTGAAGTCGCAGGAAAATTGAGATTACAACAGGATTTGAACTATTAGCTTGCTTGATTATTATATTCCGTATTTAAATTCTTTTCCAGTCAAAATGTACTTCTGATAGCAGAATATGTCCTCATAGTTGTCGATTATACATACGTAGCTTCACATTATTCACCTTAGTTGGTATAATTTCATAACCATATGGGCTAACTCACTCTCCTTACGCAAAACCTTCCTTCTAACCCCGATATTAATTGTTTAGTTAGTTTAACATCTTTTAATAATACTGTGTAGGGGGAACATATGCAATCTACCCATAACCTCCAACTTTAACAGCAATGCTATAGTACACTTTCTCCTTAGTAAAAACTTCATCATTCTTAGGGTCCGTAAGTGAAATTGGTTTCTGACAAGTGCTAATATAATTTCTGTATCCCTCCTGAGCATTAATTAGCGGTCAAGTTATCAGCTGCTCTACAACTTCATAAAAAACCTACGCGGTCTGCACATTCACTTACTTCTATTCTTAAGCAAGCTAGTCTGGAAGCATTATGATGCAAAAAAAACACTAAGGACTTTTAAGCTTCAGCTTATGGTATCAAAAGACCCTACATCTTTACATTGGCGAAAACTAATGTCACAGTGTCTTTCAGATAATCAAGATCAATCAAAGGATCTTTAGATCAAGATTAAAACATAAAAAAAGTTTGAACTCAATAGAATTGCCCCCGTAGTTGTCAAAAGTAAAAAATTTTAACTCTAAACAATCATATATTGCAACACTTAATCTGATCATTTCAGAGTAAAACTATTCATAAACTCACATAACTTGTAGATCAATTTTCTTTTATTGATTCACTTATCTCTAAGATCAGAATGGTTGCTACAGTAAACTATCAAGAAATTCGCCACATAACGTGGACTCTCATGAAACTGCTAGGCTACACATAATTTATTATTGATTAATAATTCTTATTAGTTTAAGAAAACCTTTTTACATTACTAGCACTGCTATTACACATACACTATTATTCTATCTAAAAAAACCCAATAAATTCAAAATATGTACCTGTTCATCAATGTAAAATTCTGTATTTAAATGTTAAGCATGCATAGTATAACTAACGAAAGTATGCATTCACTCTCAGTTACGCCATCCGCGTGATGTTCTGTTGAATTTGTTCGATATACTATAACATAATATCAATTCTCCACAAACTGTCGTACAAAAGTTGTTGAGTTTATTGTGTTTTTTCCAATCATTATTTCATAATCATATAATGAACATTTAAAATAGTTCATTTATATTGATCACTATGTTAAAAAGTATCTCATTAAGTAAAAAATTGCGATTTCACATGAGGGTCGTGCTATTTCATACATTATAATATTACACGTTTGTAATTAACTGTTATGTGTTTATGAAGTGTATTTAATTATTTTCTAAGCTCTAATATTTCTGTTTCTGAACTCGATACTTAAGAATATAGATAAAAGCCTCAATTATGCTATTGAAGATAGTAATAAATTTCTTATTTAAATGTTTCTAGTGTTCAGTGTTCGTACTTTCAAATATTGTATGACAAAATCATTCAACTTGCAAAATGTTACATCATTTGCAACTAATGTTATTGAATATCCCTCAAAACATAATACAGATTACCGTATTTGATTTATTAAGTTTCGTTACATAGTTTTACAAGTAAGTTTAAATTATAAATGTAGGAAATGTGAATTGGTCTTCTGCAACTTTTGACTAAGCTTTTTCTCAGACTTCCAATCATTCAATTTTAAAAACGTATTGGTTTGTAAAATTTGTTTCTGGTCCTTCATTTTCACATACGTCTTTATTGCTCTTATTTTTAATCGTGTAAATATATCCCTTATTATTTAAATGTTACTTTATCTTATTACAACTTACAACTAATAGTCTCTCAATCTTTATTCCTCTCTATCCCTACTCGAGTAATTTTCTTAAAAGAAAAAGGAACTCTAACCTCTTATACAATCTATTTAATATAACAATACCGGTAAATTTATGTGCTGTTTTGCGAAACTACACATTACGAAATAAATAGTCGTTAATACTATTTACCTCATACTTATAGGTCAAATAGTGCAAGTATTAACCGTTTTTGAACCATCGATCTAGATTTTATTAGATAAAAGAACTAGTACGGTCCCTTAACTTCAAATATCATGACACCGTGGTGTTGTGAATTCATCAGCATAAATAACTATAGCAATTACATTGATTATCACTTAGGAGATTCAATTTTGTACTGATGTTAATTGTATGTTGTTTAAAAAAGTAAGTAGTATTACCTCTATTTGTAGTGCTGTAAATGTGAGTCATAATATTCCAAGAGAGCTCAAATTCAACCTCTCCCCTCCTAGATTACAGATGCTCTAATGATAATATCTACAAGCCTAAAAATAACTGTATCTGTAGTTAGGTTTGAATTTCTCGTCTAACTGTTTCCGCTTATAAAATTGATAATAATAATAATTAGTGTTCGTAACACTTATTTAAAATCTTAAGTGATGTAACAAACATGTAATCGTGTTGTTTTTCATGATCAATCTAGCAGTGGAATCTAGGATGCGCGTTTGGTTCTACCTGCATCTGAGAGTTCATGTTAACTCAGGAACTCGAACCCAGTGACATTCGCTTTTAGACGCCATCATGTTATTCACTTAATTTCTGTGTTCAGATAGCCACTAGCTCGTGCAACCTTGTTTTTGGTTTTAAGTAATTTCTAAATAATATTAACCACATTACAACAACAACCTGTGAACAAATGTCAATTTGTTATTTTCAAACCTGTTTCATTTTTCTTTTCAAATCAATTGAAACTTTTATTCTGATTCTTCTCTTTAAGGCGTGTACATAATTGTTCCTAAAATAAGTATATTCATTTCTCTACCCATTTATGACCAAGCACTCGTAAATGTGTTTTATGTATAATTAACTCTGTTATTCCTCTTCCATCATATAATTATTAGAACATAATTAGATCTATTTTTAATTAATAGTTTTGACAATATATAAACATACAAACCATTTTAGTTAAATAGAATAAAATTTTATATCTTATTGCTTCGGGGCTTAGGTTTTCTGCAAGATGAATACTACAAATATCGAAAATATTTAACGAATCAGTGGTAACATATTAGGGAATGTGTTATATCTAGAATTGATTGACTGAAAGAATGAGAAAAGTAAGCATTTATTTGTGAACTTGTTTGTTTAAATACTTGACCGTGATCGGTTGTTTCGTAGTTTCAGCACCTGACCGAACTGCTTCAGTTTTGACAGCCGAACTGATTTATTTGTAACCATGATCTAACAACATTATGGTTCATATTTTTGTAAGTAAACTTGTTCCTTCCATACTTAATTATGAAAGGAATCATAATGATCACTTATTATCATTTAGCTAATAAGGCCAGTCGATAGTTGAATAGGATTCAAATTTATTGGGGTTTGTTTTTTATTATCATGTTTGCTAAAGTATCCTGATACACACATGCTGTGATCTAATCACTAACTGAAGCTGAACTCATATAAACTTTGTGTCTAACTATGTTAGTAAATTACATCGACGGTAATATATATATAGTTGTTTACTTCAAACTACTTTTGAGGCCATATTTGTGGCTAAGAGGCCTATTAGTAGACATTCTCAAGTATATTGATAGACAGGAAGTAGACTTTTTGTGAAACGCACCACTGAGAGCGACTATTTGTATATATACATATATATTGGCAGGAAGTCTTTAGTGTAAAACCACCTGTGTCCATTATATGCCTGAATGGGTTTTCTAGTTTTTCAGTCACATACCTATGATTCTGTTTTACGTACGTTCTTATACAAAATGGGGTTTTACATAAGTTAGCTTATAGTAAACATCATTTTAAATGTTTATGGTGTATACAATCTGGCAATTATATAAATATTCATGAAATTGTTATTACTATTGTTTCGGATGATTATATATATACAACCGATAAAACACTAATGTTTTTCTATTTTCATCCCAAAACACTATTCCTTGCATAAATTACTCTGTGATTATAAGTATTATTCCTCAGCACTATTATACTATTATTTTGCTGTACTTACAGGAAGTGTGCGAAATTGAATCGAAACCCATTTTTTTTCTAATGATCAGTTTTCCCTACTTAATATTGTATGCTTCAAAGCAGCCCTCTTGAAACTTTAAATTGAAAGGGAATTTAACTATTTCATTGGAGCTTGAACGTTTTAATATTGTTAATGGTTTTCATAATTAGTGGCAATATCATAAACAGAGTTTGCTATAGTGCTTTTTTCGACAGATATTATATTTCTAAAACCAACATGCAAATATTC